GCTGCTTAATCAGCACAATGTCATGCTCAAAACGAGCTTTAGGTTCAGAGCTCTCGCTCTCCTTGATTCTATGAAAAATAGCTGATCTGTCGCTATGATCAGCTTTCGATTTAACGACTACTTTCGCGGGGTTAGGATTACCACTTATACCGCTTTTTTTTCTTCCTTACAACCTGTACCCACTCGTCAACAGTGCTGGGAGATGCAACAACAGTTGCGTCAAACCTAGTGTTGGATTCTGGGGGGTTGTCGACGACCTGAGAGGTCAGGTTATGTTTACCGCTTGAAACCGATCGAGCCTTGCGATTGCGGTTTCTAGGCGTTTCCTGGTGGATCCCATCTGGGAGACGGGGAACAGAAGAACCTACTTTCCTTGAGCTTTTGTTCAAGGCAGGCCCCTTTGGAGACTGCTTTTCCTTCTTTGACCGGCGTGAGTCATCTACTATCGAACTAATCTTAGTTTGCTTCATGTCGATTTGTGTGCTGTTTGACGTGTTCCGACTACGCTTGCTAAAACACTTCTTTGCAGCATCAACCAGTGAGATGGCCTCGGTTAACAAGCTGTTTGCATCCGAGCAGCACTGTTGACAAAGCCACACACAACCCTTCTTACTGAACCGTTTGAAAGCAGCAGGCGTTAAGTTCGTGCAAACTTCGTGGTACCAGCTTTTGCACTCGTCGCACTGCATGCTGCTTTCAACAGGTTAACGACAACGCGGACGATGGCAACTGCTTTTTTTACACGGTCCGGTCATTTAGGAGGGGTTCTTTTTCAAAATGCGATGATGCTCAGAAACAAAAAAATAATCAATGACCAAAAAAGTGAAGAGCTATAGACTGCTAGGACCAAAAGTACTAACAGATACAGTTGAAAAAGAGGTACTCAAGAGTACCAACGACGAAACTAGTTAAGAGAGCGGTAAAAACGGTACTCTAGTCGAATACTTTAACTGAAATGAATTCAATTAAAGTGAAAACAGTGGTCTTGATACGTAATAAAAGATCAAAACAATGAAGTTTACTCAGCGATGAAAAATACCACTGTCCTTTTTAAATAGCGCGCGGATATATGACGATGAAGCGCATTTTCGGCCATTTCGACGGAAGAACTTAACGTATAATCTTTAACAGTTTTATTTGACCAAAGGCGAGATGTGAACACGATCTCAATCATATTAAGACATCATTAAGTAAACTACTCCCAGATACAGTTTCAGGAGTTAGTATTTGTAAGCTTTATAGAATAGGAAAAAAGGTGGATTCCGAAAGTCCTCAGAAAAACCGCCTCCTAAAGGTTACATTCAACACGGTGGAAGAAAGGAACCTGATTCTAAGTAATTCACGTAAACTGATTGGATCCGGAATATATGTCCGTGAGGACCTCAGCCTAGCTGATCGTATTAAGAGAAGAGCTGCAGAAGCGGAAATAAACGAGCGTCGCCGAAACGGTGAACGAAACCTCGTTCTTAAGGGTTTTCAGATTGTAAAAGTTCGGAGCAAAACGATCCCCAAGCCACTCTGGGTGGCAAGGGAAAGCTCTCCACAGACTTAAAAGTGTGCTACACAAATGCTCGCAGCCTACTAAATAAAATGGCGGAGCTGAAGTCAGTGGTGGATAAAAAAAACCGGACGTTATCGCTGTCTCGGAAACTTGGTTAACGTCAGAAGTATTAGATAGTGAAATCCAATTGACTGGTTTCATAACCAGTAGGGCTGATAGATTAAACCGAAGGGGAGGCGGGGTTATTCTGTACACCAAAAGTACCCTAACCATAAGATTAGCTGAGACAGTAGCACATGTTTCAGGGACATGTGAACTGGTGAGATGTAAGTTGAAATGCCGAAGGCAAGATATTGAAGTAGTTGTAGTTTATCGCAGTCCAGAATGTGTAGCAGATGATTTTCTCCTTAGTAAACTTAAGTCCTGGTGTAACAACGGTAAAAGCCTTGTAGTAGGCGACTTTAATGCACCATATATAAACTGGGTTAACTTAGAAGTAGGGTCATCCATATCGTCGTTCGACTCCAAACTGTTAGAAACCTCGATTGGACTAGCATTATTCCAACACATTAGAGATCCCACAAGATACGACTTAAGAAACTCTTCTCTTTTAGATTTAGTCTTCACACACGGTGATGACGTTGGTCAAACGGCTTTTCTCCCACCACTTGGGAGAAGTGACCATGCAGTCATCTTATTCAAATTCATGGCTGAGATTGCTTGTCAAACAATTGCGCCGGCCCGTCCTAACATATGGAAGGCAGATATGCAGGCAATTAACTCCGCAGCATCGGCTGAGAACTGGGAAATTGACTCAAAGGCATCAGTACAAGAGGCATGGACTCTATTCAGGCAGTTATACAATCGGGTAACTCAACCATACATACCCTGGACTGTCCCAAAGAAAAAGAAGCACGGACATCCCTGGATAGGGCGGGATATTCGACGCTTACTAAGACAAAAGAAGAAATGCTGGGATGTTGCCATCCGCCTTGGCACAGCGGGTACGATGGAACGTTACAGATCGATAAGAAACGAGTGTATAACTAAAATTCGGGAAGCGCAAAGAAAATATGAAATGCAGCTGGCAGAATCTGCACTCAAGCAGCCCAAGAGGATATTCTCGTACATAAACTACAGAACAAGGATTCATCATTGGATTCCCAACCTAATTAAAGTAGGAAGTGAATCTGAAATGATAGAGGAAGATCAGGAAAAAGCTGAGGTTATGGCTGACTACTTTGGGGCAGTTTTCACTCAGGAACCTCCTCTAGAGAAAGAACCAGACCCAATTACAGAGTCAACAAACCAGCTGCTCACCGTGGACTTCGACCAAAACGATGTGCTTAAGGCTCTTAGCACCCTAAACATGGAGAAGTCAACAGGACCAGATGAACTACACCCTAAAATCTTGAGACATATTGCCCAATATATCGCAGCCCCACTGACTGTGATATTCAAAATGTCACTTGACCAAGGTGTGTTACCTATGGACTGGAAGGACGCAATCGTCACTCCCATACATAAAACAGGTCCACGACAAGTTCCATCAAATTACAGACCCGTAAGCCTCACCAGTGTTGTGATTAAAATACTGGAAGGAATAATCAAAAGGACCATAATGGCATTTATGGAAACCAATAAATTGCTGAACATGGAACAACATGGTTTTAGAAAGGGTCTATATTGTACAACGAACCTCCTTATAGCTAGCGAGCTCTGGATAAATGCGCTAGACAACGGAAACTCAGTGAATGGTGTCTACATAGACTTCAGTAAGGCTTTTGACAAGGTGCCAACTAATAGACTGCTATTGAAGTTGGAAAACCTTGGTATTGCCGGACCTCTTTTAAAATGGATTAAGAATTTCCTAGTAGGTCGTAGGCAAAAAGTAAGAATAAATTCCAAGTGCTCCATCTGGAGACCAGTACTTAGTGGAGTACCCCAAGGTTCCGTCTTAGGTCCTTTACTTTTTATAATGTACGTTAATGATCTTACAAGTATAGTACAGTCTCCAATGTTATTATACGCTGACGATGTAAAAATTTGGCGAGTAATAACTGGAGACAAAGACGCATTTACTCTTCAGGCGGACTTAAATAATATGATAAACTGGTCTAAAGAGTGGCTAATGCCTATCAACTCGGAAAAGTGTGTCTACATGCACTTGGGGGATTCAAAGGTTAACACGTACAACATAGGGGATGTGTCATTACCCGTAGTCCGGTCTCATAAGGACCTAGGGGTGACAGTGAGCAATGATCTTAAGACGACGGCCCATTGCCGGGAGGTCGCAGTTAAGGGGTTTCGAACCCTCTGGGCTTTAAAAAGGACATTCACTAAGCTTGACACTACCATGTTCACCACATTATACACATCCTTAGTGAGAACTAAGTTAGAGAACTGCGTTCAGGCTGCAAACCCCTGCTTAAAAGGTGACTCGGACATACTAGAAAAAGTACAGAGGGCAGCTACCCGTGCCATTCCGGAACTCCAGGGTTTATCATACAAAGAGCGGCTTGAAAAACTGAACCTCTTTACTCTGTCCTATCACAGACTAAGGGGAGATCTAATTTTGATGTACAGAATACTGAGAAATGATTTCGGACCTAACTTATTCTCTCTCTTTCTTCCCACTAGATCGGGACACCTCAGAGGACATAGCAGGCGAGTAGAAAAGCCAAGAACGAACAAAATACCCGTGGCATACCGGTTTTCACACTGAGTCATCAATACTTGGATCCTGGTACCCGAAGCAGTGGTGTTCGCACCTTCAATTGACTTTTTCAAGAGAAGACTGGACACTCACAGAAGCATACTAGAAAAGGAATAACATAGGCCGTAGGCCTTCTGTCCTTACTACACAAATCTGAATCTGAATTCAGAGTACAGAAACAGTATTCCCTCCTTCATTCCAAAAGGATAAGGACACTCTGGGACGTATATAACGGCGAGCAACGAAATCAGTTCGGGGACTCAAGTTTAAGCCTTATGAAGAGCGCGTCCAGTCACCGGACTTTTTATTAATTAACGTACGGACGTCTTAGAGGTAACCTTCTAATGACTTACAGTGTCTCAAATACTTCTGTGCATTTACTTAAACACCTACTTAGGCTTATAACCAACACTAACCTTAGGAGTAACACCTAGAGACTGGAGACACAACACAGCAGAGCGAACTGTATACACGCCTTCTAATCCTTAAGAGTAGTCAAATGCTTGCATTCGCTGCCGGCTGAGTTGGTCCAAGAGACTTCCCAGAAGTCCTTCAAGAGAAAACTTGACATGTTCTAAAGGACTAAGGAAATTATCTTGCTAAAAACTAATTTCTTCTCTTTTATTGCTAAATATACCTAGGTTATTATCTGGAGGTATCGGTGATCCACTGTTACTGGATATGGAAGCCCGTTAAGTGAAAGCGTCTTCTATTCCAACCAGAACCGTTTGATGTTCGGCATCCTCAAGGTCGTGCGGTCAATATTTCTGAAGGAATGTTCACATGGATATTGCCTTCGAATTGGCTTGTGAGGCACTCAAATGTAACGAAGTTCCAGTAGGATGTGCTTTTGTTTATAATGGAGAAGTAATTGCATCTGGTCGCAACGAAGTAACTCATTAGTAGGAGTTTTGTGATTTCTAGGTGAATGCAACTAGAGATGCTACTCAACATGCCGAGATGGTTACTATTAGACGACTGGAACAATGGTGTCGAAATAACGAGAAGGAGCTTGACAAGGTTTTGACCGAATGCGACCTTTTTGTTACAGTGGAACCCTGTATTATGTGTACGGCTGCTATACGGTTTTGTCTTCCAGCTCATCTGAGAAGGTAAGTTTATTTCTTACTTTGACTTTGTCACTAGTATTACATACGGTGCTCGTAATGAACGGTTTGGTGGATGTGGTTCAGTCCTAAGTGTACACAATTCTCCTAGTCCAGTCGCTCCGCTAAACTGCATATCCGGTGTTGAAGCGGAGGCAGCTGTTAAACTGCTAAAGAAGTTCTATGAACAAGAAAACGAAAATGCTCCCGAAGAACTTCGAAAACGCAAGCGTGTGACGTAGTTTTGTTGAGTAATTGAGCGTTTTTATGTTGTCATCGACTTTTTGTTGTAAATAAATGTAAGTAGTCGTTGAAGTTGCTTTCTTTTTATATGATAATGGAAGTCGCATTGATTGTCATTTGTTCACCCCTCAACATACTCTATATGTGTCAAATTTTATCGTAATAAACACTACATATTTATTTGCCGATCTACCTTGAAGATCGAACCTCTTAAGTAGAAAATATTTTAAAACTTTGATCGTGTACTCTTATCATTCCGTTTATGAAGTGTATGTTCACTATATGGTAGAAATCCATACTCGTGTCATGCCCTTGTGTAGTTGCTCCAGGTACCAACGACAACCATTTAGCGCTGCTATGAAGATGGTCGCTTTTCCCGATGATGAATTGCTTCGGGAGCTAGTTTGCATTACACTATCCTACTTCACATTAAATGACTTAAAATGTGTAGGATACTAAGAGATGTCCTTATATCTGGTGTTTCCTCTTCAGTCTAGGTAACAATAACTTATATGACGTAACAGGAAGTTCAAAAGCCAAGAATAAGCGATATATTCATGAAGCACATACTTTCCCTTTGAGCAGTCAGCACTTAGAAGCTGTTATTGGAAGTGCTACACATGTCTCCCCTTGCAGGAGAATATGCATTTACTCCATGTCAATAGGCAGGTTCAGTTCTGCAAACAGGATGTTACCATTGAAGCTTTAGTACCTAAGTGGCTTAGTGATGACTTGGAACCTTTGTCTAGTCACAGTTTTGGTAGGGGATGTCTGTAGACTTGTCGCACATTCCCAAGTCTATTCAGGTTCAAAAGTTCACCAACAGACATGCGCCATTTACTTAAGAGGTCCAAAAATCTTCATTTGAGGGTATGGGACTCAGATAATATTTCGTAGGCTTCTATGACATGATTTTACGGCCTTACGTTTCCCGCTTAACCCCCATCTCATACTGAGCGTAATAGAGTGAATTGATGTATATCTTCCTCATTTCCTGTAGGCATATGAATGACCCATCAGTGTCATGACTACTGTATTTGACGTATCCTGAGTATGTTGGTCGATTAATTCACTGTTTATCCCTAAAACAAATATTTGAACATACTCTTTTTTAACTTATTGTGTGACAAACAAATCTCAGAAACACTTGGATCTTTACTGTTAATAAAATATTTTTAATCGCGTTCAATATAGACCATCCCCATTCATTGTATGTTGTTTACAGTAGAAACAGATTTATCCTATTCCATGAGTTACTTTGTGACAAATTTATTTGGTAAAGTTGATAAATGTGAGTTTATAAAGTGTAATGAGAAGACGAAAATTATCAGGACTATGTGATATATTAGCGTAATACATTTCGAACAATCTGATCATGCACATACTTGTTAAGAACATTCATATATAAAAATGAGAGGTCAACTAATAAAGGAATTAATATAAAAAACAATGTGGGACTCATCACGCTGGACCACACGTAAGTGGCACTGTATTTCACTAAAATTGTAAGAGTATTTTTTCAGTCCATTTTTAGCATTACCATTTTCTTGACAAGCATGCTATACTACTGTAAATGATTTGTGGAATTTTCAGTTTAAATCACGATTTGACCTCATCTAGATCAACATTGAAAGTTCGGAAGGACTAGACGACCGTTTCATCTCAGTATGGGACTCCCTCGCGGTGGGAACCCACGATCCTGGACGCGGGAATCAAACTTGGGGTTTCCGGCCTCGCGCACAAACACCAAATCTTTAGACCACCAGGTTGGTATCCAACGGTGTTAATATCTTCAATCTAGTGCCTCCAGGTCTGCGATAGAGGTCTAGCTGGGAACTGTTTGTGGTTTAAACTGAAAATAAGCTTTGTATGGATATCACCAGAGTTCCTCAAATTCATCATTTGACCACCTATTTAGGGATTCACGTATTAATTTAGTTAGCAACTGACATGGTTCTGATTGATGAGAATGCTGACGAAATTTCAGGTGTTCTGAACTCCCTCGATAACGAAATATTGTTGTTTGGATTGTGTTTCTCTTTCCTTGAATCCGAAACCTTATTTCAAGGCTATTCTACGTCAGCGTATATTTAATCATAGGGATCGAAGTGGCTGACCACTTCACTTGTCCTGATGAGTCTGTCCCTGACGAAATCATATCGTCGATACGAAAAGAGAATTTGGTTTTCGTCAATCTGCTGGCTAATATGATAGTGGACTTAAAGTCCACTAGGAGTTATGAGACAAAAAACTGCACCATGAATTCATTGACTGTTGATCTTATCCATGCAGGAGTAGACTACATGTTTGGGATCATCATAATAAGTGCGATCAGTGGTTGGAGACCTTGCGTGGGATAGTTCGAAGTTGGTCTCAGTGGAATAAATGCATTCATCTGTCCCTAAATCGTGAGGTCAAATGCTGTTTTACCAAACGAGTGGACCTTGTCACTCCAAACTTTATTCTTTGTGTTTTCTCTAACGAGATAGATACTAAGCAAAGTTGAATGGTCCTTTCTGAATTTATTATCTATAATTTTGTATTATTATCAACTACTCAAACTTGCATTTTTCCCCCTACCTTCAAACTTCCCCGTGATGCATAAGCGGATGTTATGGGTTGTACCCTTCTTTAGCTACTATTACTTCATTACGGACCTATTACTCAGCACTCTTTCATTTATGGCATGGTTACCCCTGTATTGTGATTCCTTAAATATCAGAGAGGGGATTGTAGTAGTTTTAACCGCCGAATTGAGTCGATCTAAGCTAGACCACCATTGATTATAGGAGTAGGTTGGAAGAAAGCTAGGGGCGGCCAGACCAAAACATGGCACAAGTGCACGAAGTTACTGACAAGTGATCTGAGTCATATTGGTAGGTGTAGACTACCTGGTTGGGGACCGCGAGATGATAACAACCGATGGTTAGAGACCCTGAATGAAATGGCTCAAAATCGTTTGCAATGGCGCAGGTGCATACACTATTTGTGTCCTCTCAAATGCTATTGTTCAGAATTCTTCATGTCCTTTATTTTCTTTATAAATTTATTTCACTGTATTATACTCCTTCAATAACATCTTCAAACCCTAATCTTTCCGATTACTGCTTATACTTTTACTTCTGTCTTCTCTTAAACTAAGAGATTAAGATCACTTCACATCTTTCTTTCTACGAACTAATTCTTTCTTCCTATACTATATCCTTATTGCAATCTTTCTCCTATATATTACCACCTTTGACCTAACCACTCCTATGAATCCAGTGTTCATCTTGCTGTGCTAATGAGGTATGGCAACCTGGGCCGATGCATACATGTGCCTGGTCCTACGTTGTAGCTGACTGACTGACTATACTTTTACTACTATGGGGTTTGAATCGACAATTGTATATGTGTGCTAATGTGGTGTGGCAACTCGAACTAATGTACGTCCGTACGAAGTTCTACGTTGGTACTGACTGACCTATAATTGGTATTATTGTCGTAGCTTGTCGGTTTCCGATACTCTGGAAGTATCCCTTTTGTGATGATCCACCATATATACGAAAGACTTGCTAAGTATACTTAATGAAGTGTTAGTTACTCAGTCTTCTATAACACTCGTATTGAATTTACGTTTTCTGACAACTTTTTCGTTTATTCCTACAATTCTTCCAAAAGACTGATTCAAGCTTGTCATGTTCATTGCACATATATCTTGACAGTACTCATACCATTTTGAGATGATGGAGAAGATTTGTAGCTCAGGTGGATGATTTTTATGGATTTTTGTTCTCTGAGGTGTGTGTTGATGATGTCGTTCGGAAGAACGATGAAAGCTCCACGACTAAACCATCCAGCTCAGAGAAAAAAAATCCAACAAAAAGTAATCATACCATCAAACTTCTAAACCTCATAATATGTGCAAAGGTTGCAGCCAGTGTTACTAGCGTTCTTATTACTCAGTTTGCAAACATTGTCACAAACTTTCCATGTCAATCGGGACCGAGTGAAAAAGTTCCCGTTCTAGTAGACTTTTTCCCCAAATGTATATTACATCGAAATACAACATCGTCACAATGTTTAGCAGTCAGTCACCGCAATCATAAATAAATGAGGCTCTCAGTAATCCCATTCATTGAGATCGCTCACTTATAACTTCTTACTTAAAAATCCGACGTCAACGAATCTACATAAGGATTAGGTATTAAAACAGGCACCGTGACCTTGAAATTGTTCACTTGATTCTATAACACATTGCTTTAACTTTGACACTTTCAACAAGTAGTACAACCTATTCAATTTGATCTATTCGACACATTGGATCCACATTTTTAAAAAAAGTCCACTGACTAAGGATATGTTTTATTGATTAGTTAATTCGTTTTCATATATACATATATATGCATGTAGCCCTTTAACAGTATTATAGAAAATTGCTGTTATAATAGTTTAATGGTATCCAACAGATACGAATACCCGTAGGTATATACTCACACGCACAACTTTTACACCTAGTATAGTTTCAAAATTAATACAAATCATTCAATAAATGTTAAAGTAATAAAGAATAATAATAATGATTATTTTCACAGATTGAAATCATGAGTCAATTGAAGCTAGACCACCATTGAAAACCTGGAAGCACTGGATGGCCGTTTCGTCCGAGTGCGGGACTCCTCAGCAGTGCGCATCCACGATCCTGCACCCCGCGGAACCCAAACCCAGGACCTACTGGCTTCGCGCGCGAGCACTAGACCACTGAGCCGGCATCCAACGGTGTTAATGTCTAATTTCAACCAATCCACGAAGTTGCGCCACCATATACCATTGTCTTCACTGAGCTGACATCTCACAACAGACCTGGTTGAACTCCACTGGTAACGGCTTCCCACTAGAACTCCAGGAGTATCTCTTGAAGTCAGTCACTAGTGAGCAGATGATTATTATCAGAAGGGGTTGGTGGTCTAGTTTCAGCTGACTCATGATTTCAATCTGTGAAAATTTCTAAAATCTCCAC